ATGTTGATTTGGAAATTCCCCTGGGAGCTTTTACACGAAACAAATTCCTACGGGAGCTTAAGAGGCTCAAAGCTTCTGGCTTGAGGACCTCAGGGTGGAGGGCTGGAGGCTTGGGGACGCCCCAGGAAAAGTTTCATAGCCATTGCCGATGTTTTTTGGTATGGGTTCTGGCCCTTCGCTGTCGACCCTTTATGAGACCGAATGTGTAAGCTAGAGGCCTAATTCCTGCTCATGCACCAGGCTGCACGCCCTGCGGCTGTAACGATCCCAATCGGGTCGTGTGAACTATCGCATCGCGAACTCAGAGACTAGTAGGTCAGCTCCTGTGGTTGTGGATGCCCAAGTGCTCCAGGAATCAATTTTGGATCGTCTAGGCTTTATCTTGAACCCTTTTTCAGGACACATACGCTTGAAGACGATGCCCGCTGATGCATCTTTGACTGCATGAGATCATTGTCAAGCCAAGTCCATAATTCGAACCTCTTAAGCATAAAGCATACCATGTCTTCATCATCTTAAGATCGAATAGCTCACTAATTTCATTCATAGTGTGACATAGCTCCACCGCGAAAAGCCTTTCCATGCATCCCCGTGTCTGTTCAGCGTCATGCACATCTCCACCGGACAGACAGTTGAGAGACCTGAGCACCGACTGAAACTTCGGATCGTGCTGCCGGATTTTCGCCTTAAAGTACACCAAGCAGATAGTACCATACAGGACCTAAGTGGCCGACCTGTGGCACCTTCTATGCAACATCTCGTTCAACGCTACTTGTATGGTGCCTCGGTTTAAGGACCTCAAGCAGGCATTCACCCACATCCCATGTTGGCAAACAATCGAAGGAACAAGTCTTCGCGCGTTAACTGATGTTTCCAGAGTCGAGGTACTGTTGGGTCCTGCCCGTGCGCACAAGGCCTCCAAACAATGCGTCGAACATGCCACACCCACAGGTCGGGCTGCGTTGGTCGGTTTTGTGGGCTGGCCAGCCTATGACCAGGTTTCAGCACTTGCGATATGCATTACACGTAAATCTGGCCTAACGAACAAGTTCTACCATGAGTGCTGAGACTGAGGTCACTCGGGCTTGCAATAAAGCTCCTTGGGTCTGGGATTGGGAGTCGCCATGCTGCCGAGGACTGGGTGTGCGAGCACATGCAAGTCAGGAGGGCCTCAAAAACAAACACCACCGAGTCCACCGTACCAGTACCCCTTGTGTACCTTCCCAGATGTTTGCAGCCCAGGGGCACGCCACGCTCCTCACGATAAATCGTGATCTCTTTTCCTGACAGCCTGCTGGCAGCACCGGGGCATCGTGGCTAACGGTAGCAGGGTGAGGCAAACAGAGTACCGCGGAGTGGTCAGGAGCTTGGGGTTGAAAACGCCTGCTTCTGAAGCAAGTTGGGAACAAAAACCATGGATGTGTCCACACCTGCCCCATAGGCTGTGCTTCATGGTAGGCTGTGCTTCATGGTAAGGATGGAAAGAACCTGGAGTAATTACCTGGTATGCTGTCCAGCGATGCAGAGGTGCTCATGAAATAACAGACTGGAATACCCTTTACAGAATTCAGGCCCCATCGCTCGTCAGGCATTGGAAGGCCGTTGCAGCAAACTGATTAAAGCAAAACAGCAGAGCCGCTTCTACACGTGCGCATGCCGGCCTGCTAGCAATAGCTGCGCAAACTTGCGACTTTTCAACCGGGGTGCCTCTGCTACTGGTAATGCTTCAGCAAAGGACTATTATTGTCCGCGCATGTTGGCGCAAACTCCTCGTGTAAGTGTGTTTCCGCAAGAGCCGTAGGAAGTTGTCCTCATTATGAGTTCCAAACGCACGATAGCACCATTGCCTGAAAGATGTATGTAGAATGTCGAAAACGAGTGAGGATGGAACCCATCGATTTGAAAAACAGGGGCCAAGCTGATTGAACCACCACAACTTCCCTCAACACCTTGTCTGCGCGAAAGTATACTTCTTGGCGGATAGTAATGCGACGTGTCGCTGCACAAGACAAAGCATGGCAAATACAGTACGTCGTGTTCGGGGCAAGCAGGTGCCACATGAACTGGGTACAGACCTGTATGATGAGTGCAAGTATGCCTGGTCGGTAGCTGGTCGCTGGCAGCCACGTCGTCATCGAGGGCCTCGTTGTACTCTCCCTCCTCGAAACTTTGGTTGCTGGCGGTAACTTCATCCAGTAGTTACAAGTACCTTTTTGCGCATTCGGCCTCACGGATTGGTATCAGGCATACCGACGCCAGCACTCAAGGTACCTACAGGCCCGACCTAGGGCATGAACAAGTTCCCATGCGAGTCTCCGGGTAACAACATCCTCTCGTCCATCGTCAATTCATTGTCACGTCCCAGGGCAGAGGCTTGTGGACTCTGTGATTTTGATTGTTCTATGGCAAAGCAGCCGACATGACGAGTCTGTCCTCGAGGAACAGCTCCTCGTCCTGTGCGGACGGTGCACCTGCAGAACTGCAATCGCGTGCAAACGGACCGGAAGCTGTGAACAGTGTCGAAGGTCTCTTGGGTGACAGGCCCTGAGGCAGTCGTTTTTCAGTGGCGTCTGTCCAATGAGATGCTGGGTCGGCATCGTGAAAATTCGGCAAATGATGGTCCATGACATGGAAGGACAGGCTTGGACTTTGAGCGTGCCCAAGATTAGCTGATACCTTACATGATAATGTGCAAATACATGCTGAGACATACCGAGGGAGAGGAAGGGAGGGAGCGAGCCCGGGAGAAAGAGAGAGTGAGGCTGCAAAGAGAGACGAACAAGATTGAGATTGGAAGGCGGAGCTTCTACCTGGAATTTTCAACGCCAAAAGAGATACGTACCTAGTTGCTCAGTCCGACAGCTGTCTCCCCGATGCTGATCCGCTGCCGGACCATGCTACGCTGCAAGAGCCCAACAGACTCGCCAGTAACTCCTCAGAACTCACGTGCTTCCGGAGATCAAAAGGTAGAAGAAACCTCTTTGGATCCAAACGCCAAGGCAGGTGCGTTTTGGCTTGCAATTAATTAACCCATGCGAAATGTCGAAGTCTTAGGCTGGGGACTGGAGTTCTCCACGCCGTATGCACACTCCGCCTGGGCTGCGAGGATCCGCGGCGGACTTTCGGAGAAGACTTGGAGAATTTGCTTGCAGCAGCATCTTGCAGGCTAGTCTGAACCCTCATATGGGGGTTTCCGACAGTAGGGGGTACCTTTTTGGGGTCCTATAATTATAGCGGGATCCTACTACTTGGGGTCTATATACTGTAAGGGTTCCCTTATTTTCGTAAACCCCCTTTACCAGGCTTGAACTAGGCTCCCTAAGCTCCAGAGTGATTCAACATCTGTGCGGGGGCCCCAGAAGTGGTTCTTGAGAGAACCGGCTCTCGGGGAGGGCTGTTGTCTTCTTATTGCGGGGCCGGAACCCCAAACCCCAACACCGCGAGCCCCGAACCCTTTTTGAACCCAGACTCTGTAAGTCAGCTGGCACGATGACAACTGCATCGTTTACATGCTAGAAAGTAAGTGCATCCAAAACAGAAAGTCAGCAAGCAACCTCAACGCGAAGACCCAATCCCCGAACCCTAAACCCTAAACCCTAAACCCTTCAGGTGCTTACAATGCGTGGATCGCCTTACCAAAGCCCGCGGCCTCCTCGTCTTGTGAGACTTCGCCATCTGCTTGGAGCGCCCAGAAACCATGGCGCCCAGGCATTCTCTCCAATTCAAGGGGCACAGGTTCAAGAGCTTCTAGGGGTGTTCATGGCTTCAGGGACTTCGGCGCAGGCTTTGGGTTTCAGGGTTCAGGGTGCGCTGCGCCAGGCATGATCCGAAGCAGGGGAGGCCTGTTTTCGTGCGAGTGCCAAGTCGAACTGGACGGGCTATAGTGATTATATTCAAAAAGTGTACATTCTACAGTTCGACCAAAGTCAACATCTCGCCAATGTTGGGGGCTCAGCTTGAATTGCTTGCAGGCTGCCTATCAGGGATCACGCTGGAACAGGCTGCAAATCGGAAAGAGGTTCTCGCAGAAAGAGCAGCCAAAGCCCGCAAGGATGGCCCTCCTCCTATGGTTTAGGGTTTAGGGCTAGGGTTTAGGGTTTAGGGTTTAGGGTTTCGGGAATTTCGGGTCCGGAACAAAGGTACAGGTTTCGAGCGGGGTGAGGTTCCCATTTACCCAAGGTGACATGTCAAGGAGTGCGAAATGTCAATAATGCTGACATGTGGCACGCTACCGCGAAGACGAGCATTACAGAATCTCAAAGGTATTTTGGCTAACAAACGCCGACTAGAGCCCCAGTGACTATAAATCTAGACTGCGTGGGGTCGACATGGTTTTGCGGGCATGGGAGCAATGCAAGCAGCCGTCGTCTGTGTGAACGTTCAGGCTTGATGTCCGAAAATCGTCACATACATGACTCATTGCATGTTAAAGATTGCGATGAATCTGCATGCAGCTAACACTATGAAGAGCATGAATTTTCAGGAGGTAAGCAGACATAATACACGATAATACACGCCTAGGACATCATCCCGTGTATAGGCCCACATCTCGTAACAAAGGCGAGTCAGCGATTCCTTGCGAAGCAAACTCCCTCTGTTGGAAGAGGCTGTACTTGAGATGGGTGCCTGGAGCAACCGACTGCAATCTCATTCGATTGGTGGCGAAAGCTGGCTGGTGAGTCTGGTCAGGTGTGGCCCTGTCCTTGGGGATTGCAAAAAGCTCTGCACGATATATATATATATATATATATGTTATATGTAGAGGCTGCGGCTGCAAGCAGCTGAAACACGTTTTCATTCCTGATTGTTGCGGCAGTCCATTCTTGGCCACCCCTGCATGCCCCATGCGGGGCAGCGCCTACAGAAAGGAATGCGCGCATCTGAAGACCGTCTCCATACCGTGTATACCGCAAGGACCAAAACCTACGCAGCAAGAAGCGCAGAAGGGCTGACGGGAGCTCTCAGCGCCACAGGATGCAGGAGCATCGCGGCCATGGCATTCAGATGTTGTCCACGTCAACGCCAGCCGCCTATCGGGGAGATCACCGTGGCCCAAGACATCTTTAGTGCATGTCGAGAATGCTGCAGGGTGCAATGCTGCAGGTTTGAAGCCACGTGCTCCACAATGCTCCAGTGTTCAACGACCCGGTGATGCAAGAAGTTTCTTGGTGGGACATGTTGCCACAGCATCGGCCCTGTCAAGACTCGTCTGGTCCACTCTTCCAACCTAACAAGGAGCACTACACATGCCAAGAAACCCCATGCTTACAAAAGTTTTCTGCCCTTTGCACAGCGACCCTGAACGCGCTTAGGGTCAAGGGTCTGAGCACACTCCAAACGCCACAAAACCTGCGATTGCCACGTAATATTCTCCACATGATGCAGGAAGCAGCGGCTGCCTCATCGAACTCGACGCCGTCTTCGCTATCATCACCATCACCGATGTCGGTCTCATTGATTTTCACCTGAGAAAGATCTTCGCGTTAACAGCCGGGTGTAGAAAAAAGACGACAACTACGGTTGCGGGCTTCGGGATAGGGATAGAGATGAGATTGTAGATAGGCGTCTAGGAGAGAAACATGTTCGTTTGTGGGAGCAGCGCCTAGTAGTCAATACGAGGGCATGCGGCACGATTTTATGCATCAAGTGGCAAGGGGGAGGGCAACTCTGCCCCAAGCGAATGCATGAGAACTGCCAAGGATACTATCCTCCTGACCTGTGCGAATCCATGATTCGCAGAGGTGCGCCCAAACAGATTTGTGTGTGGCCCTACCTTGAATCTGCATGTAGTCTTCCGGGCATGTGCTGCACAAGCGTTTTGTATGTGAAACCGGCAGGGGCCGTTTTGGTTGCACCCGCCTACTCGAGCAGAAATCTGTGCGTCCGGGTTTTGACAGCAGCCTTTGCTCTTCCGAGTCCCACAGCCCATTCCCCCCCATCCAGTTTCTTCGAGCACTGCAGGCTCCGCAAGCAGCCGTGCAAAACCAGGTGCAACTGTTTGGGGAGGGGACACAATAAATAAAGAGGGTGGAACATTGCAAGACACTCTATGCGGTGCACGCTTTGTTCGAACCAACAATCCAGGAAATGCACCAACAAAAAATTGGTCTGGAGCTTTTGCCCTTGCAGCCCACCATCCACAGCCCCCCAAACTCTGCAGACATTTTCGCAAAAAACAAACCTGCGCGCTGCTATACCGGGGGATCGGTAAACATTCGTTGCGTAGCCCCTTTGACAGACAGAATGCCGAGCCACGTTCTCCGGCAGTTCGCCGTAGTTCTTCAAGCTGCGTGCCTCCTCGGCCGTGTACTTGGTGATGATGTCGCCCTTCTCGTCCTCTGAAAAAACTCTCAGGAAGAAGCTGTCAGAACTCAGGTTTTAGGGGGACATCCGCCGCTCGAAGCCTGTTTTCTTGCTTTCCCATGTGTTCCGAAAGCTTCGAGGCCTGGAATTTCCAGGTCTAAGAGGAACAGTGGAACGAAGAGGCTTAATTTTGGGGGTTCCGATTCGGAGCTGCAGTGGCCTCGCGCTCTTTCTCGCATTCTCATGTAAGCCCACCCAATTGCCCGACTCCTGAAAGTCGCGAAGGGAAACCAGGACGATGTCGCCCTGGTTGCACCACACCTTCTTCCTCATCTTGCCTTAGGCCAAGTAGGCCAAGTCTAAACCGAGACCAAACCCTAACCCCGAAGTTACACAGCGAACACACTGTAGACGGTAGATGCTTTCGCATTCGGTTTAGGCGTATAAGGGGATTTCAGGATGCTTTCTGAAAGAATGCATGGCTGAGGCTTCGAGCTGACGGGTAGGGAGCTCATGGCATCAGGCTTGAGGATTTCATGCGTTTGAGGCGTCGATAGGGGCCAGTTTTTGTGCTCAGAAGGCTTACTTCGTCACCTGCTGTGATGTAGGAGCTGAGCAGTGGATGGATTGCTGGCAATACAAAACCGCCACCAGTGCCCACTAGGAGACTGAGATTGCGACACTCTGCTCCGTTCAAAGTGTAGCAGGAATAATTAGCAGCAACCAGCCTTGGACCCATGCCCACAACACTGGCTCCTGGCCAAAGTAAGCCGTTCCAACCCCAACCCCGAGATCACAATGGGCGCCATTTTATCCTCCGGCTTTGAGGCAGGACCATCCTTGAACATTCCACTACATGCAATTGTCATCAGACGTGCAACTGTGTCAACGGCCTGATCAGGACACTGACTCTTCACACGTCTTCTGCCAAGCCACCACGAATGTGGCACAACCTCAGTTGCAGGAGGTGAAGGCAGCACAGGTTCACCCATAAGACAGCATGCATCAAACATGAGCTGCCTTCCCGCTACCCTCCCCACGTATGGTGCAGCATTGCCCTGTTGACACAGCTACACATACTTTGTCTTTTTACGTATCTCTCTCTCTCTCTCTCTTAAATGCCTCTCCCTCCCTTCATTCCCTTCCTTCCAGTGAGCACGGCCCGAAGGGCCGCGCCAAGTCGAGAGGCGCATGGGCTCCGTATGGCTCGGTATGCTTGGTGGGAGCAGGTGCACGTCAACTCATCTCACTTTGCCCTCTGTGCTGTGTCTGTAGATTGTAGAATTGATTTGGGGCGGGAAGGTTCAGAGTCTGCATGGCACTAACGAGACCAGTACGAGACCCGTGAGCCTTCAAGTAAGGCAGAGTGAGCCCTGAGTGGAACAGTGCTGGCAGGTGCAGAAGGTGCGGGCGGTGCGGCAGACACCCTTCCCGCTCGCCATGGCAAGCTCCCCAGAGGACGTGGAGTAGTGTGTTGCTTCTAAGAGTGCCTCTCTCAGCTCTGAAAGTGCTTGGGTTGGCTCTGTGGCGGTGACTGGGAATTAGTTGGTGTTCTTTGATGCCAGACGCAAGGAATTCCCCCTTTGCCGGGAGACATTACTATAGCCCAAACATGCCTTTGCCCAGGTGGTGAGGTCGCCAGCTGTCGTTTTCCTGATGAAGTGGTGCACGACTTCCTCTCTGAAGTGCGTCACTCCTGGTATCCTTGCGGACCTGGTGGAAGCATGATGAGGAGTCGATGTAGGGCACCTTGAGCCAAAAGTTAGAAGTCTTCTTTCCTTCCGTCGCCTCCAAATAACCGCCCCGAAGGCGCATGTCGAAAAGTCTCTCTCTCCCGCTCCGGCTCCCTCTCCGTGAGTTCCCAGTTTCAAGCTTCGCTTTTTACGCAGCAGCTGTGGGCAAATTGACCGCTATGCAGTGTCACTGTTCTCACAAATAAGCTAGGTTCTTCGAACGATTGACAATGACATTTGTTCGTGATCCCATGCGGCCCAGATAAAAGATGTCAATGGGATTTGTTTAATTAAATCCTAGGCCCACCAATATACCCGGTAGCCCTCGCCCTCACCTACCAAACCCTACACCCTAAACCCTAAATGCAGGTGCGAAGCCGCTTCACACCGTCTACGCACTGCACATCGCATCGGCCATTCCCCAGCATGCGGGTGATCTGGCCATACTCCTGTTGCAGGTTTAGGGTTGAGGGTTTAGGGTTTAGGGATCTTGCCGTTTAAGGGTCCGAGTCCGAAGAGAGGACAGCCCCAAAGAAAAGAGCGAACAACAGATGCACAATATGGGCTATGTATGTTCGTTCTTGCAAAGGTCCCATGCATGATCTTGTTTTATGGTCCCTGAATGTCCTGTTTCTTTGAATAGGCCGTGTGTGCAGGCAGACATCAGGCATTCTCATGTGGATAAGTTGACTCTTGAACCTGCCCCGCTGTCGATGGTTTTGACGCACCCACACTCAAAATCGACCTTCAACGCAAGTAGGGATCACGGCTTCATCAAACACCTGTTTGCAAACTTCGACTTGCCGGAAAGCACGCTGCAGCTCGACTCTAAACGCCTTCACGTCTAAGTCCTGAACACGAGAAGTGCTTCGACAAGCCAAGCTGGAGCGCTCACTGAGGCCGGACGGCTACAAACGCAGTTTTTCGTGCACTGTGCCGAGATTTTGGCGTGCTTCGCGAAATCGAGCCGACAAACTGTAACTGGCCGGGTCAAAGCAAACCACGCTAGAAGCCATGGGCGCACATGTTTAATGACAAACTTCTGACGACTTCGGGTTTGCCGCCTGCGCGACGGTTTATCCGATACATCCCTCTCCAAAAAGATACCAAAGAAAACAAGAGGCAAACTAACCCTAAACCCTAAACCCTAGCATGGGATTTGATGTTGGCATGTCATGCCTCGGGCTTTTAACTGAAGAGCCTACGAATTGCTTAAGAACCCCCAAAAAAAACACAAATCTTATCCCTTAGTAAGGGTCATCTAGGGATTATTATCTTGTGTTTTTTTTTGGGGGGGGGGGGGGTGGGGGGGTTCTTAAGCAAATAGTAGAAGCTGCAAAGCCGCACCTGTCCATCCTCCTTGAACTCCAGCTCTTTCTTGTTGTTCTCAGTGCTGGCCTGGGGCTTGTAACAGACCCTAAACCCTAAACCCTAAACCCTAAACCCTGAACCCTGAACCCTAAACCCTGAACCCTGAACCCTGAACCCACTAAACCTACTATTTTGGGGGATTTTTGGGGTATCTTATTTTCGTAAACCCCCAAATCATTCGACCTGTTCTTTGGGTCTTGGGCGCTTGTTGCTGTTTGTCTCCTAATCCCGCCGAGTGAACGATCAGGCTACTCTACGAAGGACGGGTGCAGTTTTACAGTCTAGGACTGAGAGGTCAGGATCGAGGTGGTGAAGGCTATATGGGAAAGCTGTATGACCTAGCGCTTTTGAATGTTTCACAGCCGAAAGTGTAGCATGGTTTCGGTGCCAGGGCCGTTCCAATTCCAATCTGTGAAACCAGGCCTATGACAAAGCGAGATGAACTAGTGAATGGCTGTATGTTGCAACTGTTTACCTCTCGTTCCTCTCTCGGGTTTCCACCTCCGTTCATGTTCATGGCAAGTGATGCTGCAACATGTGCTATTGCGTTTGAGATTGTGCTTTTTAGCTTGAAGAAGAAGACGCACAGGGCTGCTGCCGGAGCGTGGTTTCGAACCCAACAGCAGTGACATATTTGCACTTTACAAGGAGTCGCACTTTGCACCGGATTTGGAACGAGAGGTGCGCATCTCCCGACAGACAAAGAACCCCCTCACAACAGACCGACCGACCGGAAAGTGAGTCCCTGTGCCATGCTTTTGCAACAGGGAGCTTTCCAAGCACCTCAAACCCACATCAGTGTTTTGATTGCTGCGGGCTAGCACAACCCTAAACCCAAAACCCAAAACCCTAAACCGAACGCCCCAACCAGCCTTCGCACGCTTGGCTTTGTTTCCACCAAGCTTGTTCTTCGGCATGGCGACGCCGACCTGAGATGTATGTAGGTTGTAGTAGGCTCTTGCGCGGGCATAGCTGCAGAAGACGCGAGGAGGTTTAGGCTGAACCTAAACCCTAAACCCTAAACCCTAAACCCTAAAACCCTAAACCCTAAACCCTAAACCCGTGTTGAGCGTCTACTTCCGCTGTACATGTTTGCGGCTGGGAGTCGGGTCCGAGTGTTGGGCTGCCATCTTTCCCGAATGCAAGGGACGAGTTCAGCACCCAAACCCTAAACCCTAAACCCTAAACCCTAAACCCTAAACGCTAACCCTAAACCCTAAACCCTAAACGCTAAACCCTAAACTTGTCCAGGGTTGGGATGGTAGTAAAGATTTCTATTCCTCATTGAGTTTGAGTACTCTTAAGAGTGCAACATGTTACCCCACTATGACAAAGTCAACTACTGCATTGGGTGTTCGCAAAGGTTCTCGGACGTCTGCAATGCTTCCGGGGTCTTTCATTGACGCTTCATATCGTTTCATGTCAACAGTGCCGGCAGTGGAATCGGGCACTGTCTGGGTCGCAATGCAGCCCTAAAAAACACGAAAAAACCCTAAAGCAATCAAGTGACGTTTTTTTATACGGTTAGGCAGCGCAGACCCTAAACCCGATAATTCCAGCCTCGCCTCGACCGTAAAGAACAATCGAGACACACTTAGGCTACATCTGCCGTCGCGGCATCCGAAAAGGCAGTTTGCAATGGCTTCTCCTCGTGCTGGAGGCTTGGTGTTGCCGAGTTCATAGATTTTGTGCTTTCTTATGCTAGGTATATAGCGAAAGACACACTTGAAATCGTAAAGATTTTCAACCAGGGCAACAGCAACCATGCAGTTGTGTACTACGTACCGGCAGTTTTGCGATTTTTGCAAAGCACGGTTCCGAGACCCTTTCAGAAACAAACACATCGACCTGCATCGTTGGACATCTCTTGTTAGCTATGCAAGGCTCAGACTGTCACGCCTAACCGGCAGAGAAGACAAGCAGTCGCACTCCAGGACCCGGGCTGATGTGCAAGCTCAAAAAACCCGATGTGGCGCACTGATATGCTGACAAAGCAGAAGTGTCGGCGGCGACAGTAGGAGAATTTCTGTGCTTGCCGATCCTGCATGTAAGAAACGCGCAGAGAAGAAGCGTGCCGGCGAAGAGCAGTCAAGGCTGGACATTTAGAAGACCACAGCTTCATGTTCTCGCGCAGATCTTCAGAAGACAGATCTTTGAATCTTATGGGACAGGTTTTTCAAGGATAGAACTGCTCTAGGGGCTTTTGCGGGTGGCCTTCCAACGGCCTCGGAGGGCTCATGACTACGCTTAGGGCATGTGTGCGGACCGTTCCGTTAGGTACGTATCTGCACACAAGGAGAACAGGAAGTCGTGACCCGTGAGCACACCCTTTTTTGCAATATGTTGCTGCGCAGACAGGGCCGCCAATTCATTGGCGCCTGCATTCGGATTCCTTCTGCCAAGCCTTTGCATGTGAAGCTGGATATCCAAAACATTCCCACATCTACCATACGCCAAATCTGCCTCACCTCCTGGGCAGCTGTGATCCTGCAAGAGGGCACATGTTCAGCAACAGCTCGGCTATGTGCATTCAATCGAGCATTGAACAGGCAACGTTGCAACATGAAGCCTTGCACGTCCAAGTGGGCACACTGACATCCAAACGAATTCAATCAAGAGTTGCCACTTTCTTCGAATCTCTCTCAAAGCCCTAAACCCTAAACCTAAACCCTAAACCCTTCGAGCGGCATTTAATCCAACCCTCAGGGTGTTGTCGGCTGAAGCCGCAAACCATACATCCACGGCATATGGCCGAAACTCGCATAAACACTACGGGCCATCTAATCCAAGAAATTACAGGTCTGCTGAAACCTCAACCACAGGAACACAACTTTCAGACACACTGGAAGTAGAAGCTAATCCGAGGTGCACGACTCTGTACCCCACCTCCGCCTCACCAATTCACCATCAATCCTCTTTTTTGGATGCCGCCTGTTGACCCAGTTGTGGGATGCATGCTTCTGGTTACTTCGGGTTCAAGATGTTGAGTTGGGGGATGTTGGGAAAAGGCACCGGCAGAACCGACATGAAAGGACATGATCCTATCAGCTTCTGGGCACACATAATTACCAACTTGCCTGAGCCATGATAGGGTTATTTCTACCAGGGCTGGCTTCAGAAACACCAAGGCGAACACTTGTGTCGGCCTGCGTGTGCCTTTATCTACAGTGCTTGTCGCGCCTGACATTGCTTAACTGCCAGAGCCAGTGGGACAGTGATGAATGCAGGCGAGGCCAACAGCCTCCTGGACCTCCTCTTGGGTCTCGGCACCGTCCGCGCGGCGCCGCCTGCAATTTCTCAGACATGATATTGCTGTCGGCAAGACCGCATGCATGCTTTACCAGCCCACACGCTAGCTAGTGGAAGTTTGGATCCATCCAAATCCACAGCATGCTCCGACATGCAAGGCTTCATCCATAGACCGCCGTTCGTGGCGATGGTAACAGCTTGGACCAATGCAAAGCTTTGCCAAAAGAGCCCTGCAGTGCCAAATGCCATTGTGCACAAAGCGCCAGCTTCACACAGAGCGACATGAATCCCGGCAATTCCTTTCCCCTAAATATCATGGTGTAGTCTCAAGCACACCACACCCCCAGACACAGATGCCAAATGCTCAATATCACTTCCAAACAAGAAATACATTGCAAGCAGCCAAAAAACACTCTCCAGGTCCCGAGCGCGAGTTCCTTGATTTGCTCCTGATCGCAGTTGTAGCTTGGGGCCAGTTTCAGTAGTTCGGAATGTCCAAGAAAACGTTGCCTTCACTGCCCCGATCCTCCTGGAGCCTCCGGTTCTGAGTCTGGACTCGATCCATGTAACCTGAAGCAGCGTATTCTGTTCAAGGTAAGATTTCAACAATTGAACGTTTTTGCACATCTGCCCCACACACTGGTCGCACGCATGTGCAATGCATGGCCAACGCAAGAAGCACACGAGTTTGGACAATATTTGTGAGGATATAACCGGTCAAAGTCGGCAGTCCCCACTTTCGGAAGCTGAGTCCCTGGAGACGAGTTTCTGCGGGTCTGTGGGCGAACACCCTGATAGTAATTTATGGGGCCGGGGCCTGAAATTTGTCTAAGCAGGGGAAGCAGGAAACAGATGCCGCTTAATGCTTCCGTCCGATTGTGTTTTGCTGTCGTGCTTTGCTGCCTCTTTGACTGTAGTGCTCGTCCGCGCGTAAACACTTGAGGACGGATGTTACTGTATAGAAACCCATGTAGGGTCGAGGGCCCGCTGTGCAGTGGCAGTGTCAAGCTGAGAGGGGCGAAGCCCGCGGCCGCGAAAAGCCATCGGGCCACGTATAAAAACTCTTCACAGCACGGGGCAGTTGAGGAGCACCAGCGAGGAGCTGGGCAGGAGTATTTCAAACCTGTCGGTGTCCTCGCCAGGTCTGGCAACAAATTTGATCATGTTCGCCCGCGTGCCCCAGGCCGGGCAGGACTCTGCAGTGCCATCAGTCCAACATCGATGTGGATGGTTGAGTTATTGGAAATCGCGCATGGGGTGACAGAGGGGCCGTCTACGGAATCCAAATCCAGCGGGCCGAATTGATTGATGCTTGGGAGAAGCTCAAAAATGAAGACAAGACGTTGTCGAAGGATGTCGAAGACACGTTTACCCATTTCCATGCAATGCCGCAGGGCTCAAGGCTCAAGTCCTCCGAAAGTAGGGACAAGTAGATGCATGGTCTTTGGGGCGTGACTGCTTCGTGACAAAGTGTTGCAGAACCTGCAGCTGTTGACGTGATTGACAAATGTCGGAATCAATGACACCGCCTACAAAAGCAGTGAAACGGGCCACTCGTTCTCCTTTGACTTCGATGGATGATGATGATGATGAGGCGCTAGAGTTGCAAGGTGAAGGAAATGTGGGCTTGTCCGTTGCAACTGTAGCAAACATCGTGCGTAGCGAAATTCAGCGAGGGATAGCCCCGGTGGAGCAGCAATTGGCGACCTTGCAATCAGCGTTTGGGGACAGGCTGGGACAGTTGGAAAGTTCAGTGTCCGCTCAGGGCTCTCGTATCCAGAAGCTTGAGCAAGTCATGGCCAGTGCTGATGGCACACCAAGATCAACTGCGTCAGACCACTCTGCAAAAATCGAGAAGCAAATCAGCGATTTGTTTGCTCAAATGGAATTGCTGAGAGAACCTCCGGTCGCCATCCAGCATGATTACACAAGAACAATGGTTGTCGGAGGGCTCCAAGGCCTCACGTCTTTGCAGCAAGCCACGTTATGGTTGTCCAAAACGTTGAACTCGCTCAGTGGCCCATCACATGTCGGAGCCTACATGAAGTCCAAGGTCTTTCAAGGGCTGATGTTTGCAAAGTTCAAGTCCACAACGGATCGAGACATTGCAGTCGCTTTGCTTCGTAGCGCTGAATTGACCGAAGCCGGCAACAGGGTCTGGGCGACGCAGGATCTCCCGTTAGAGAAGCGAACTCGCAAGACATTCCTACTTGGTCTGAAATGGCAACTGGGCGAATGGGGTTTCATGAAACGAGAGATTGAAATCGATGATGATTATAGTCAGCTCAAAGTGGGTTCTTCCGTGGTCCTCACGCTATCCATCGTGGGTACGCACATGCAATGCAATTGGGTAGATACATGGGCGCAATGGGAGGATCTGCAGACAAGCGAGGAACTCAAGCAGCTCTTAGCCCGTGCAAGCAACTCCTTACAGAAGATGGGTGGGGCCAAGGGTCGTGGCAAAAGCAAATCGGGAGTGGCCGAGGCCACTTCATAGGGACAGCTCCGTTCGGGTCCAACAGTTTCACCAACACAGTCGCGCACTTCAGGTCACACACCTGTTTTCAAAGTGGATAAGCCGACTATTGACGCAATTCAGGCACAGACACATTTATGGATTTTTTCCAAGAATGCTCGTTTGCACACGTCAAACAGGCTTGCGGAGATGCTGAGTGAATTATCAACTTGCGATTGGGATGTGGTGTTATTCAGTGAAACACGCCGCGCACATGGAGACTGCAAATTACAAGACGGTCATCGTTTATATACCACGCAACAGCATGCAGGTTCAGCAGGCGTTGCTGTTCTATTGCATGCTCATCATGTGCAACATGTCAAAAGAGTTTCGGCCATTGGCAACCGTATTATACATGTTGATGTCAACGTCGATGGTATCCACCGATTCATTGCTTGTTATATGCCACATGCCGGGTACCCGTATGCTGATCTTTGCGATGTATATGAACAGTTGCGACTTATCCTTGCCGAAGCACGTCAAATGGGTTACAAAGTTGTTCTTGGTGGGGACTTCAACACACAGCAACATGTGGGAGTGCGAGGTGACTTGTTTGCAGACTTGATAAATGAATTTTCGTTGGTGCTCGCGAATCGCGCGCAGCACGATGATTCATGGACGTTTTGTAGTTCCAGTGGGGTGAAACGCCAAATTGATTTCATTATGCACAGCTCCAATATCAATTCTTCAGACGCGGCGCCTACGACAAGTCTTGACATGGGTTCCGATCATAGAGCCGTACGCTGCAGAGTTCAAGTGCCACCGATCACACGCAGACCAAGCAGAAAGCCATGTGGATTACGAGGCTGGCTCCCGGACAATCCGAGTTCTTATCATGCAATTCTTCGAGATAAACTTCAACAAAAGCAGCCAGACAATATTATCGATTTGGAAGATGTGGTTGTCGCATCCGCAATGGAAGTCAATGCCCCTTCCTGTCGTGCTTCTGACCTCGAAGAGCCATGGACGAATGATAATTTTCAGCTTCTTCTCCGACGTCGTCGTGATTGCAAAACTGTTGCTGAACGCGCACGTCTTTCCAAACAAATTCGGAAGGTCCTTCGAGCGCACCAGCGACGCAAATTGAATGACAAGATGACGAACATTTTATCGTCGGGTCGTGATTTTAAGAGATTGGAATCACTTCTTCGTACTCCCGAACACTCTCAGCAACATCACCCTGAAGAAGTACCATCAACGGAGGATTTTACCTCGTATCTTCGTGGTATATTCTCTACCGACAGTGCCTGGGAGCAGACCTCGCACTCTTCATTTGCGGATATCTTGCCATTTTCTTTGGAGGAGTTGCAGGCCGTTCTGAAGCGCATGAAAAATCAGCGAGGGGCTGATGACGGTGGTCTTGTCGTTGAGATGTTCAAATTTGGTGGCCGAGATCTTCACCAATGCTTACTTCAAATTTTCAACAACATGTTGGCCAGTGGCAGATTGGAATCTTCGTGGCAACATTCCCTTTTCAAAATGTTGCCGAAACCCGGTGATTCGTCTATGGTAACAAATTGGAGACCAATCGCAGTTCTCAAAATCACCTACAAGATCTTTTCGAAGCTCGTACATACGAGAATCCAAGATCTACTGGAGCGTGAACAGAGTTGGGATCAAATGGGTTTCCGGTCATTACTTGGAGTGGATCACGCGCTTGCTGTTCTTGACACGGTTTTGTCCAAAGCTGTGGAGTGGAATTTCGACGTTTGGTGCGCCAGTCTGGATTTGAAGAAGGCCTTTGACCGCATCGAGTTCAAACCACTTTTCGAAGCATTGCGATGTCAGGGTTTGCCCGACTGCTACATCAGCTTATTGCAAACATTGTACCGCTCACAATCTGGATCAGTGAAAAAGGGTTCCCCATTTGAAGTCCAACGCGGGGTGAAACAGGGAGATGTTATGTCGCCCGCTTTGTTCAACGCTGGCTTGGAGCACGCTTTCCGACAGTGGAAACAACGACTGATGGAGCATGGTCTTGACGTTGGAGCAGTCGAACGACTCACAAACATCCGATACGCTGATGACATCATGATTTACGCAAAATCTTGGCAGGAGCTTGTATATATGATCGAATGCCTCGTACAAGAACTTGGAAAGATCGGTTTGCATTTGAATGCATCAAAAAGCCGAATTATTACTACAGCCCACATAGACGGACCCATGTACATCAATGTTAGCGACGACATGGTCGAGGTATTGACTGCAGGCGACGTTCACAAATACTTGGGACGACATATCAGTGCAGATCCTCGATGCCGCAGTCAGACAGAACTCAAACATAGGTTCCAAGTGGGATGGGCAAAGTTTCGCAAACACCGTCATATTCTTACAAACAAACATGTGTCCATCGCATTGAGATTGAAATTTTTCGATACAGTATTGACTCCAACCGTTCTGTTTGGATTACACGTATTGCCGTTGACTCTGTCACAAATTCATACACTGGATGCATTGCAACGACGAATGCTTCGCTCTGTGGTTGGCTGGGTGCGAGTTGCAAACGAAGATTGGCACAGCACTATGAGTCGGATGAAACACAGACTGACTGCAGCGTTACACATACACCCTGTGGACACCTGGTCTCGCCAGCTTGCACGACGTCAGTACAACTTCGCTTTCCAAATGTTGCGAATTCCCAATTGGGCCGCGGCTGTTGTCAAATGGTGTCCAGAAAGCAACTGGCAAACAAATTCTGCTTTACAACTACATCGTCGACCCGGTCGCCCGCTAACGAAGTGGGATGATCGACTCCGCAGTTTTGCAGCCTGTAATTTTCCAGCGGTGAATACGTGGACTGATATTGCTGAAACAGCAAATTGGCCGCCCGCTGCAAGCCAGTACGTACAAAGCTTTAAGAATGTATAGACCGAATCGTGCCAACACTCAAGCACGCCCCCATTCCCCATGTCCTTATAGGACCGTGGTCCACTAGCAGCAGGAACAGTCTGACGCTTGTAATGTTTCACGTGGACCCGAACGGGCGAAAGCGAAAGCGAAAGCGAAAGCCGCAGATTCCGTCCAAACAACACCAGATCAAGGAAGCAATGCGGTCTTTTCGATTACGAAATGAACAGCATGGAGCTTTGATTCGGGATGCAAACAAGCAGTGCTAGTGTTGATACGAACAATGGGGCATCGGTTCACTGTCCTCCTGCAACCCCCGAATGTTCATATTGTCTCAAAGGTCCAAGGCTGACTTGTCGAGACCTAGACAGGCTGTAGGACCTGGTGAAATACACACAATGTTGGGATGAGGGTGGCAAGACGCGCATCGTCACTTTCATCATCCACGGCACCACCGTAAAGGTAATACGTTGCCATATTATTGCAGAACCAAAGGCCCTAAACCATAGCCAGTTTGCAAACTCTGTGTCCCGTTTGCTCCGCATCTTGGCTTTGACGGTCATGGTTTCCCGTGGCTGTGACACTGGGGGCCAGCGTTCTGACTTCAAAACAAGTATGGGCTTGTCCGAAAGGGCCGTCGCATAAGGCTGCAGCAAACAAACACGCCCATCGAAATCAGCGACACGGCGATTATTTGCAGCCTGGGCCGGTCGGAAACATCATGTTGGTGTGCAGTTTGCCAAGATCTGCTGCCGCCGAGATTTTGTGCTTCAAACGAAGTTCCAGCAGCTGGGGGCCCGGCCCGTACTTTGCGAGCACTGTGGCCACAGACTTGGCCCAAGAGCAAAGCAACCCGCACGGACAAACGGATGCAATTTCGAGCGTCGTGCAAAAAAAGCAGCGCATCTTCTCTCCCAACCCGTCCAAGGATCAGGAATATCCGAGGCACGGACCATTGAGACTCGGTAGTAAAGCGGCCTCGCCACCCAAAACACTTTAAACAAAAACAAAACTCATGATCTTGGACAGACTTGGTCCTGCTAATTGCATATTTCACGCACCCAGCCCGTGACTGGAACGTGACGCAGTGCTCATAGCCACACAAGATCACAAACGCGGCCTGTCAAAGGGGTACAGGTCCCCGTCTTGACCTTGATGACCTGCCACCGAGATTTTGGAGTAAAAATGATCCAAAAGAAAGGGGAAACCACAAACGCCATCCGCAGCATTTCGGTAAAGCCAACCCTAAGCCAATTGCTCGGAACACGGCAAAATTGGCCACGGGATAATCAAAACACCGATGTTCATACACCCTGTCTACCACTGCGTTGTTGTAAAGCAAGTGTATTGAGCTGCTTGCGATTGATTGGATGCTTGAAATTGCGACCAAGGATTTGCCTGTCATCAAAAACGAGGAAGGCAAATGCTTGGATCTGAAATGATCTAAGCTACCGCATTTGATTGAAATGGTTCATGAGCTTTTCCTCTGTGCAAAGCCTGGTTTCGACTTGCCAAGCTCACAGGGATGCGGGCTACATATGTTCACTAATCAGATCCGCACATGCAGCCAGCTACTTGCATGAAGCTTGGACATTGAACCTGAAATCTTCACGCGGCGCGATAAACTAACTAGCAGAACAAGAGCGGGTCGCCACCATTGTTTGCACTCCTGAAAACGACCCAGCCTTGTAGAGCCCAAGGCTCCAAATTCTCCAGACCTGGCAGGTTTAGAAGGTCGGTGTCTAGGGTTTATAGAGATTCGGGTTTCATTAGAATGCATGAATGGTTAACATGGGCACATGGCCGGTGATTTGTGAGTGCCTGATCTGAATATATCTGCATGGTACAGTGCGCCAGCAAACTATTTTGTTCAGATCTGACACATGTCCGAGGGCAAAGCTTCTGCGTCCAGAAAAGCCATACCTTACAAACCAAAGCCGGCGATGGGCATAGATTTGCCAACAGCCGCCAAAAAAGGAAACAAAGAATCACAAACCCAACAAAAATGAGGGAATGCTGTCTAACTTCGGCCGGTCACAATGTGACAGCGCCGAATGCTGGCGGCACGCAATGACATGCTGATGCAAACAGGGCACACCCTGCCCTGCGAAATCAGCTTCAGGGTCGGGTAGCCATGCACGTCGAACATGTTCGCCACGAATTGCGACTGGCCACGCCAATCATGTTCCCACAGCCGTCGGCACAGCGAATAACATTGCACGCAGATTGCACGTTGCCTCTGTGCAATCCACCTTCGCCACGTTGACTTGACCTTGGTCTTGCTGACAATCCGACATGAAAAAGGAAACTTGGTCGTCCTGTGGGCCGAGGCTGCCGCCATCCAACTTGTTTGCGAGCTGCTCCCAGGTGGGGGCCAGCATCTGCAATCAACTTTGCAATGTTTGGCCGACGCCACCGACGGTCATGTGGTGGCAAATTTTACTTTTGGGCGTCAGGAAGAACGGACCTTGCAATGGCCACACCATGGCCTGCACAGTCGCATGGGTGTCGTTTTCGAATCAGAATCTGATGCCATCCGTGAGTAATCGAACAGTAAAGATCCGAGGGACAGCAAAGGTCGCTGTACGTACCAAACAGTACGAAACTATACAGCTATTGCTGCTTCACACATGCTCGTCATCCCCGTAAGTATCGCACGCGTAGAACTTCACCACCCACGGCCTCAGTTGACTGAATCATGTCCATGGCATTTGATGCTGATTTGATTACACACAGCTTTGCTGCAACAAACAACCCGGCTTGGCCGCCACGCCTATTTTCGCCACGGGCCACAAGTTCCTTCACACTGTAATATCTTGGTTTTCATGCTGACGCTTGTCACTTGCACGACGTGCCGCCCGAATCAGACAGCCGGGCCTGGAAGTTGCTGTCCGTGAGGTTCACGACGAGCGACTGCCAAACTTGCTCACACATGGCTTGTAGATATCTGTCCACTGAACCCAGCAAACTCTCGCCGATGCCTTCTCCTCCGCATAAGCTTGCTGCGCTTGCGCCACCAGAAGTGTCACACCAAACAACACGCCTGAGACAGCATTAGTGTCAACTGGCGTGTGTTTGGCGGGGGGCTTCCGCAAAGGTGAGCAGACCGTTTCTGATGTGTACATGTTGCGCGTTTTGTCGTCTTTAATTATTGTGTTCATCGTCATCTTCGACCGCACAGAACAATGTCATTACGATGCGATAAACGCATTCAACGTTGCAGCTCACGGCATGCCTGGGCCAGGGACGGCCATGCTACCAACTACCACGAGGTTGCGACCTATTCAGGTGACACTGGCCTAATATTGGAACGAAAGTGAAATGTCAATGAACGCTGTTCCGTACGTGACTTGCAGCTTGAACCTGTTTGACAACATGGCCGGGCAATGCATCAGCTGTGTCAAAACATCTGAAATATAGAGCGCCGCAAGATGCCGCAAGCACACAACATTTTTTTTTTTTTTAATTTGACTTTCCCCGTCGCTCGTTTGTCCAGTCCATCACATCCGCATCCCGGCATTCTCGGCTATTCACGACAGCGCTATGATGGCAGCGTCCACGCGTGCTTGGCGACCGTCCACATCGCATCGTTTTTGGAGCAGAGAATAGCATGAACTTTGGGGATGGCTGGCAGCAGCTCATCCCCGTTTTTTTGCGCGTCTAGGGCTTTGGCCCGGGCTCTGTAGCTGCGCGCCCTACACGAGCCAGCGACCGACTCCGATGCAAAAGCAGGCAGTCATATGCAATCGCTGAGCGACGGCGAAAAGCGGTCTGAAAACGTGCACACCGAGGCGAACTCTTGCGCGCCCGCCAAGTGCTGACCGCCGCCAAGCTCGCGCCTGGAACTGGAGGCAGATAATCAGCTGGCACCGGCTGAGGTCCGGCGTGACGTTGCGGAGGGCGCGCATCGCCTTCCGGCGCAAGCACGCCACCTAATTACCGTGAGCTCGCTGCAGGCGGCGCGGAGAAACCCTGTGCGTGCTCGGCACTTCGCACGCAGATCAAGCGCCTTCTCGCCCTCCGCGCTCGGAGCTCCGCCGGCAGTGCGCGCCCTTGCAAAAACTGCGTGGGCCTGGAGCTGGTGGAGCGTACTCTCTGTTGCCGTCCATCTGTCACACAGCGCTACAGGCGCGCCCGCGCCATGCCGGGACTGGCACATGCTGAAGCTTCGGCCCTCTTCGACCTAGCCGACCCGGAAGGGTCGAGCCGCCTGCCGCTACGCTGAGCCGGCCCTCACCCCGGACCGAGTCTTCCAAGGAGCCGAACATGGACACAGCTGCTGGCGGAAAAAAGGTGTGTGGAAAAAAGAGATGCTTGCTTTGCACCAAGTCGGAGGGCTTGAAAGCGTTTTTTGCCAATCGATGGCTTCCATGTGATGAGAAAGTTTCCTTGCGTGATCGTCTGCGCAATTTTGAGGCTGTGATTTCCCCAGTTGCATGGCTTTGCAGCTGCGCAGCGACCTGTGTATCAATCGGACTTGCGCAAACTCGACTTTGCCCCAACGTCGGATGATACGTGCTGTCGTTGGCGCACCAAGTGGCGCAGACCGGTCCTGGTACCGTCGTGTTCTTCTCATCGTGATGCGTTGCTGTCATTCAGTAACTCACTGCGCCGAGAACCGCAAGCAAAAAAAATCACATTAAACTCTTATCATTGTCTAGATGCATTGTAGAACCGGAATTCCAGAATTCCATTGTTTTGGGCCACCCACTACCCTTCCAGAAATCTAGATTGTATCGGCCCCCCAATTCAAGATTTTCAGATTCTGGAATTCTGGATGTGCCTCCGCTGTCAGCTCCTCTCGCCCCGCCGCTCGCCCGCGGGCAACAACTTGCCGAAGACAGCGCCCACGGCAGCCGTTTGCGATCAGCGTTCAGTCCGTGCATTGCGAAAAAAGGTCTGTTCACATTCCCGACCTGCTATCGTGGAGCGCCCCGCGCCCGCGTCATCCCTCGCGCGCCGCCAACACCTTAAGTTAGTTAATGATATACAGTGCTGCCACTGAGAGCTCGCTGGCTGTCATGGGCGACCTCTCGCGGCTCGAGGCGGGCATGGACTATACGACAATCGGCTACGCGGCATCGAGGCGCCCGGCACGCGGAATACTTCGAGGTCAGCCAGCAAAACGTAACCGCGTGACACTGACATTCAACGGAGGCTGGAGGGACAGCTGATATAGATCGCTCGCGCAAAGCCCTCGTGTGGCGAGCACTCGACATCGGCGCTCTGCGCCTTCCAGCCCGCCACCCGCACCACCGCCGGCTGCGCGACACGCTACCTGCCGCTCAAGCTCGTCGCCGAGGTCGACACGGCTACCAAGATGGACGCCACGAGAAGGAGGGGGAAAGAGACCGGAGGGCCATCTCACCAGGCTCGCGGACGGTGAGAGGCAACAAGCCTATGCTTAAGAGTCCCACCTCAGTGGTCAAACGCCGCTGCCGCTGAGGCCGTGCAGTGGGATGAGTCAGCTTATCGGAGTCGGCCCGAATCTGCTTGTGGGCACGCTGGCCCCGATCGGCCACACGATCGGAGGGGCTAGGGTCAGACGAGCCTTGCACCGAGGACTGGTGCTCGGCACCAGCTGGACCATCCCACGCCGACCAAGGTCCGCAACATCGTCGCCAGCCGGTGGCTCCGAGCAGTCGCCGCCTTGGCATCTTGATGGACTCCCCACTGGGCAGCAACGAACACAACATGGCGGCGCGATCGATGCTGACCGCGTGTCGCTCATTATGCGGCAGGCGGTGCACAAGACAGGGTGGAGCGCGTACGGCAAGTTCCTGAAAAAATCGATCCACAAGCCATGGGTGCAGCATGCGCATACTGAGATGCCGGAAGTATACAGGTTTGAAAAATTCTGGAATTCTGGATCTGGAATTATAGGTCCTACAAATCTGGAATTCTGGAATTTAATAGGGGTTTGAAAAGCAAACAGAATTACATATGTGTGAAATCTGGCATTCTGGAAGTCCATAGTGTCAGAGTTTAGGCGACGTGTTTTCGGTTCCGTGCTTTATTTGCCCCAGAGTAGGCAAGTTAAACAAAGTGCACCTTTTAGTTACCACAAAAATGAAGCATCATTGAAGTAGTTGACCTCAAAGGCAAGTAGATTAAAGAAGTTTAAGGTATTCTGTTACTCGCGAAAGAAGTTACAATACCTTGATGACCTGGTTACCGCTTTAATGAATCATGCTGAAAGAATGCATCAGAATTCACAAGAAGTAAATTTCAATTCATGAAGTGAGTATACGTTGAGTGTGCTGCAGGAGGGGTTAATTATAATAATTGAGTCAAGTAGTTCAAACTGATGCATTTAGGGCTCATGAAGTTAATCCGCAGATGGGTCAGTTCAATCGAATTGTGATTACTTGTCGTGAAACCTTAAGCATCATTGAAACTAATCGGCCTAACGCAATTAATTTTTAAGGACACGAATGTAGTTAATTTAGGTCACTTAAGTCATTTAATAAGGGGTTACTGAAATCTTTGCAGTGAATCATAAGCCGTACTTAAATGAACCAATGGAAAGGAATAATTGAAAAGAGTGTAAAGTAAGCGAATTGCATGCGTTACTTAAATCCAACAATTTCTTAAGTATTGGGAAGCATGATGTGTTTGTTGACTTCATTGTCGACTTCAACGTTAATTAAGCTAAAGATGTTTAAGAAAAGTATCGGAATCTTGCTTTTTGGGCAATGTTACAGGAGTCTCGTCCTAGGTGGGAGACACTCTAATTAAAGTCTTGCTTATTGGGTGATGTTGCAGGCCACTCTTCCTAGGATCTGGGGCCTCGTAAGCTTGAAATACTTAATTTAACTCGTATATTGAATTTGGTTAGCTTACTTAATTTCCTTGGGCTCAGTAGTTGTTGCTATTCTAGCTAAGGTTGGTTATACTGAAAATGGTTGACGGACAGATTTTTGTAAAACAATAAAAGGTTAACCAAATACACAAACATTTTGGCAAGCTTAAGATCTTAAAAACATAGTGGTCAGTCAAACTGCCTGACAGGATCGTTGATATTGAACCACTTCTGAAATCTAACCAAAATGCTTCGGTTTTGCGAAAACTCATGCGCAGCGCCCAGCAAACAGCACATTTTCTCCTCAAAGCAAATGTCCGGATCGCTGACTGCAACATCAGGTTCACAGCCTGCAGCTTCTGCTGCACCGTCGATGTCAAGTCTATGACAAGCAGGAAACGCAGGACGTTGAAAAACACACAAAGAGTGCAAGGACTCCCCCAGAATATGCGATCATCCAGTCAAAACAAGGGTTACATCGGATCGTCGCTCTCAAGCTGTTCTGGCATCGGGTAAAGCAGGTATAAGGCATGAGGGTGACTCGGTTTCCAAGTTGCCGAAGCATGCAGAAGCAACATGGGCAAACACCCGGTGAAAGACGAACTGCAAGTGCAAAAATGAACAAATCACAATATCCCTAAGCCCTAAGCGCCAAACCCTAACATAGGGAACCCTAAACCCTAAACCCTATAAACCCTATAAACCCTAAACTCATAATATGGACCCGAAGAAGCTACGCTACTTTCGGAAACCACCATCATTAATGCTCCAAGACATCCGGAGCCCTGAGCTTTACACAGCTCTGCCTCTTTACATCTAGGGTTTAGGGTTTAGGGTTTAGGGTTTTACCCCATCGTCTCACCAGGTTCCCACTGGGTGCTTCGTGCATGAATTACGCGCCGCACGCGCCCGTTGCTGGAGTTTGCTTTGCCTGCGACATGTGTGTGCAGTGCAGCTTTGTGGACAGAAGTTGACCAATTGGTTAAACTTAGGGGCCCTGCCGGAGTGATCTAAAACCCATCCAGAATCCAACAGACTGCCCAGAAGAGTGTGATGTCAGCAAGCACCCAAGCGCCTGTCATTCCTGATTTCGTCTCTGAAAGCACTCCGAACCTCAAACCCTCAGCGTTCCCCATCCCTAAAGCCTGATGCCGGGCTATTCCCTCAATGCGCACACTTGACAACGGTCAGACTTGCAGCTCGAAAGCGTAAGGCTTTCGGTCATTGGCTTTTTGGAGCTGGTTTCCTTGTCCGCTATATGCCGCCCCCAAGAAGCCTAAAAGAGCTAAACCCCCAGTCCCTCTACCGATCTTTGCATGTCCCAAGTCAGGAGTCTAGGGCTCAGGCGTGACAAGGAGCTATCGCAAAGGGGCCACCCAATAGTCTAGACTCTACCCTAAACCCTAAACCCTAAACCCTAAACCCTAAACCCTAAACCCTAAACCCTAAACC